TTGGTGTTTTCCTCTTCTTGAAATTGGGAGTGCACCATCTTTTAGAAATTGATTAGACCATGTTCTAATCAAACGAGCACGCCAAGGTTTTGCACCAATACTTTCTGCAATTATTTGACTTGAATCATATGCACCATAATTTTTAATTCGTAATCTAAAATATTGGCACATTGCTTGGATGCGTGTTTTAACACCAAGGTCAATATTTTTAGAACTGATAATGTTAACAAAGCATCCTCGAATTTTTTAATTACTTCTACTTCATTATCATCAACTACAACATCACCTGGAGAATTTTTTGGAAAAAATGATGTCAATGGATTGGTATTTACAGCGGCAGCTCTAAATGCAGCATTTTTTCGCCTAATTGTGGATTCTGCATTACCAATGTAAATGGAAGGTCTTTTTCGATTAGAACTTGATGAAATTGCACTTGTACTTGCACTTGCTGTCATCATTTTATCAAAGACCGAAGGTAAAATTGAGTTAAAATCATCCTCAAAAGTGTCATCATACCAAATTTCATCATTTGATTCATTGTCAGATGATAATTCAGATTCATCTGAACCAATTATTGTTTCAGAGTCATAAATTATTTCATCATTGCTATTTACATCATAATCAAAGTTTAAAGAATCAAAATTCCGAGAGTTTCTTGCTTTTTTTAAATGAATATTTTGTTTTTTAGGAGGCATTGTAAGTTTTATATTTGATTACATTTTGTATGTATGATTTAAAATGTTTGATTATGTTTTGTATATATGTATAATTTTATTTTGTTTTTGTTTTAAGATATTTTTATTTTTATTTTATTAGCATTGCTTGGTAAAAACACCTTGTATTTATATTAATTTAATCACTTCTTTAGATCCCAATTCAGTGAATAAAGAACATAAATCTTTTTTATTGTAAAATATGAAGCATTGATAAAAATCGGGTTTACATTTGATTTTGGCATCTTGGCTTGGATCTCTAAACAGACAAATTATCATCGTTTTACTTTGTGGTATTAGTTATTCCTGGAATGTGTATCAATTAGATTATTGAAGGTTATAATCAACTGAATTATTTTTCAGTTGCAATTATATATATAGATTTCGGCCATAATTTTTATAAATAACACATTTTTAACAGAGATAACGACACATTAGAATTATTAAGGGAATTAGCAATTGTGAATTGGTAGCGAGTACGATACCCACAGAGTACAGTAAACAAATTTACGTAAGATGCAAAGACGTGGGTACCCACAGAGTACAGTAACAAATTTACATAAGATGCAAGGACGTGGGTACCCACAGAGTACAGTAACAAATTTACGTAAGATGCAAAGACATGGGTTACAGGACAATCACAAAAATCCTTTTCATAAATTATACAAGTTTAACATCCCAAATCACTTATTTTTTTTAGTAATTAATGATAATAAAATTTTGATTAAAGTAATATGTATAATTAATATTTTATTTCAGATAAAAAAAAATGGTTGAAAAGAGAATAATAAAAACTATAAAAAAAAAGAAAATCACTAATAAAATTGTATAGAAGTGTGTGCGTGCTTGATTTGTTTGATCTGTTTGAATTAATGGCAACCTTTGTAATATATGTAAGATCTGTTGCTGCATTTGTAAGATCTGTTGTTGCATTTGTCCTTGATGAACTTGTTGTTGTTGGACATTTTTGGTCAATGCACTTACAAGAACCCACACAGGGACTTGTCTTACTCGTCGAGTTTGTGGTGGTGGTAGTGGTGGTGGAAGATTTTGTTGTTGTTGCTATTTCTCAAGTTGTTTGACCAGCTTCCCAACAACCAATTATTCTTCCTCTTTCAAAGTCAGTTAATTCAGTATTTTCAGTATTTTGTGTATTTGTTTCTGTAAGAGTCATTGTGTTGTTGATTAAAAATAAGAGTTAAAAAAACGTAATAGTTTTAGTTAAAAACGAATAACAATATGAAATATGAAAAAATTATTTTTAAATGTAACACATTTATTTTTTTTAGTCGTTTTTACATTTCAGTTCAATTCTTGACCGGTATTTGACGATTAGTTGTGAGGTTTTGTAAGTATATATTTGAAGACAAAAGAAACAACATTTACTAAGTTCTCAAAATGTGTTAAAACATTACATCTAAAGTTGTCTCTAATCTAAAGTTTTTTTGAAAATTTATGGAAATTTTTTTTTGTCTTTTAAAGATTATAAAATTACCAATAATTAATTGAATGTTGCGAAACTTGAACATGTTATAGAATTCATTATGGAAAAGATTTTTTTGTTATTACACAACATCGATTTAATTAGTAAAATAATGACTTTTTATATCACAGGAGTATTCAATTATTTTCGCCGATCATCAGGTGAAGCGATACTTTTTTCCAGTGACTGTAGCACGGACAGAATTAGTGTTTTACCACTGAAGAAAATCATTGTCCCCTTGCATGCAATCAGTGTATTATGCTAGCGTAACGTTATACATTAGTGATTTTCTACGAGTAAAGTTTCTAAATTTGTACTAGTTAGTTACACGGCGAATTTTAAATCTTTCTGATCATTACCTAATTTTTAAGATTTTCTCATGACTAGGAAAAAACGTGTTTTTTTTATAAATTTGTTTCCTTGCATAAATTTGTTTTGAATTTGTGGTTTAATTGTTGGCAAATTCTGGAAATTTTAAAGATATGGATAAAATCGTGACAAAAATCTTAAATCTTTATAATAATAAAAAAGCTTAATTTATGTTTGGAAAAAATAGATACTAAACACATGGTATTTATAGTACTCAATTTAGATTGATAAAAAACAATTACATTAGTATTAGTAGTTGATTAATCCTTTTTTTTTTTCTAAAAAAAAAACCCACTAATAATTTTTTTTCACCTTTACTCATAAAAAAATTTAAAAAATCCTTTTCTTCTCAAAAATTCTTTTTTCGAATATAATAAATTTCACATTTACTTGTTAGTTATAGAAAATAATTAAAAAAATATGAATCCAAGAGTTTTTAGACCAAATAGAAGACCGAGTGCTATTTTTAGACCTTGGAATGCAGCAACCTTGGGGGTTTGTCAAGATCAAAACGTACGTGTGATGTATGCATTAATGAAGAGATAAAGAAACGAAAGAAAAGAAAAACATCGATTACATTTATTAGTTCACTCTATCTATAACGGACCTTGCTCTATGAGAATTTAAGCCCAATTTATATATGGGACATAAATTATTACTGTCTATAACGGATTATCTCTATAATGGATATTGTTACTTAGGCCAAACGGTCCGTTATACAGAGAGAGTGAACTATGCATGTTAAATTATATGTTATATTCATTTATTTATCGATTATTCAACTAATTAATTAATTATATTTATTCATTTAGGCTATAGCCTTGGAGGAGAAAAAGCTATTTGTCAATAATAAATACGCGAAATATAACCTTGTTAATGATAATAGTAACATCAGAGTTGCGCCTACTAGATCTAATACATTTCCATCACCATCCTCTACCACCACCGACCCATCCTCTTCATCATTAGCTAACAACAACAATAATCCATATCTTAATAGATCTTCAAGAAGTAATACAGTGTCATCTTTTACTTCAACAGCAGCTTCTGCTAGTAGTAAGGAACCAACTACTACAACAACAACAATCGAAAAAGATGATGATTATTGGTGTAGTAGTGTAGTTCAAACTGACCAAAATAAAAACGATAATGATGATTATTGGAATGTTAAGACTGAAGCTACTGCTACTAACCAGAATAATGATAGTTGGGACATGAAGAATAATGAAGAGAACAACGGAGGCTGGAATGTAAATAATATTGAGGAAGATATTAGGAATGAAGATTGTGATGTGAAGAATAACGAAGAGGATGATGGAGGTTGGAATATGAAGAACAATGAAGAGAAGAATCGAGGTTGGAATAATGTAACTGAATATACCAATGAAAAAAATGAAGGGTTGAGTGAAAATATTAATAGGAAAAAGAACGAATGTTGGAACAGCATTGTTGAAAACCCTAATCAGAGTAACAATCAAAAGGATGTAGAGGATTATAATAATATCGTTGAAACTGCTAATAATAGTAATGATGACTACTGGGGAGACGCAGAAAATCAATTAATAAATAGCACGAGTAATAATAATATTAATGAAAAGAATAATGAAGATGATTATTGGGGAAGTGAATTACAAGATAATCAAAATAATAACAATTATCAAGATAATGTTGATTACTGGAATAGTACAAGTGAAAACAAGATTAGTAAAGAAAATGATAACGACAACTGGAATGAAGAAGATACGGTTTCAATTCCTACACCAATTACTACCATTTCAGCTATAACTCCACCAAAAGAAGAAAATCCTAATATTAGTAATGATAATGATTTCAATCAATCACTAATCAAAAAATTAAATACTTTATCAACCATTGATCAACAACATCATGATGAAAAAAAATCCAATAGTCATAATTATAATCCAAGAATTATTACCGATATTAATAATGTTATTTCCAATAATAGTTTTCAAAAAGTTCAAGGTGATGGTGGTGGTGGTGGTGATGAACCTAGGGAAATTTTGGTTAAACTCAATAACATCAATAATAGCACCGCTAATAATACTGATACAGCAATTGATACTACTGGTAATACAAATGGTAAAAAAATTCAAACTTTTGTTTTGATTGGTGACGAATTTAAGGAAGAAAAAGAAATAAAATCTGTTATAACACCTCATCCTCATCCTCATCATCATCATCATCCTTCTTCTTCTTCTTCTTCTTCATTTTCATCTTACTCTTATTCATCTTATTCATCTTATTCTTCTTCCTCATCAGTATTATCATCATCACCTAAACAATCAGAACAAAAATTACTTGATTTTAGTGACGATGAAGACAAATCACCAGCTGTAAATAATAATAGTGAGAAGGAAACAACTACTAACACAGCTACTGCAAAAAAAAAGAGATCAGCGGATTTTAAGATAATTGATATGGAAGGTTTCTTAAGGCAAGACCTAGAAGAAGGATTAAAAAAGATGGTGAATGGAGTAATGAATAAAAATCTCACCTCTTCTATTACTATACTTGCCAGCAGCAGTCAGGTATTATTAATGTGATACAATTATTATTATATACTTTTTGATTTATTACTTCTATTATTATATAATAACATGAATTTGTTGATTGATGATTCAAATTAACAGCTACAGCAACGAAATATGATTCCATTGAATAGTCAATCATTGGATGAATTATTAAAATGATAAATATAAAAGAATGAGGATATATATTTGATCGTTGTTGAATGGGATTTGATTATTATCTATTCCCATTTTATTTTCAATCTATTTTTCAAAACAAAATTATTATTAATATTAACCAACGTTATAATTTGTAAATTTTGATTTTCTTTATTTTCATAATATTATTTATTAAATAATATTATTAAAACGAAATGTTTGACGTTCAACTATTTTTCTTGTTTATTTTCTTGTCTGTCTCGAAGTCCTTACCTCGTGATTCTGAGAATCGGAAATAGTATTGGTTTTATTTTTAAGTATTATATCAACTAATTAGTATTAAAGTCAAAATTTGTATAAAATAATTGGTTAATCTACGTGATGCGATCGATATACGTTCTAACATTAATATAGCATGTAGGTGGATAGATGTTGATATTTATTAGTTCACTATATAACAAATTTGTCTGAAACTGCTTATAAAAACATAGTTAAAACAAGCCTGTGCCTCAGGGATCTAATTTAGACAAAAACTTATTTCATGGGCGCGACAAAAGTCGCTCGGAATTCATATTTCTTATTTATTTAAATACAAATTCTATGAAATAGAAAATCGGCGTCCCATATCAATATTAATATTAATATAGATTTTAGGCGTTAGAATTGCAACCGCTGCTACGTATACATGTAATCGGGACGATCCTTTCGCTAACACTTTGACTCTGCTCAATCCTAACAAAGGCCATGGAACTTCATTTATTTGTATGATCTTTGGAAAATGATTTTTACAAATTGATGCATCAATACGTTTCAAAATAGAAATACTGGAGTTTTTGCTTTCCAATAATAGTTTTCTAATTAATAGAATACATAGTGGTCAACTAATATACTAATACTAGTTTATCGCATTATCAAAACATCATTAGTATTAGTTATTATTAGTTATTATTATAATTACTTTTGGAAAATACGAACTAGTCTAATTTTAGAAATCATCTGCAATTGATTTAGTTGATTTACAAAAATATATTTTGAATGGACAAAAAAAAAAAATAGTCTTTAGCGTGGAGTATTATTAAATAAATATAAATTTTATTGTGGTCTAAATCGATTGTTTTGGCTAAAATTATTATTTAAGTGTTACTAGACAAAATGATAAGTGATATATTATTGCCCGTTTTTAGAACCTTTAATAATTACGATTTCCCTTAGGTTTATAATATTTTAACTTGTTTTTTATATTAATATTCTTTCTTATCCAGATTACCAAATGTCGGTGTATATGACGATTTTGTGCAAAGATACATTTGAACCAATTATATTGGCCTAGTATAAACGAGGAATACTGCTATCCTATTCTAAAGCAATCTGAATCGAAAACTGTGCGCACGCACACGTAAAAAGTGGGATAAGTATGCGCAAAAGTTTAAATGTTTGATCCTTTGATATTTAATGTCACATTTAATTGGAAGGATTATCCATCCTTTAAATAATAATAACAAAGGATAATCCTTCCCAATTTTATTCAAATTTAAATTTTTTCTCACGAAAACATTAAAAATTATTAAACTTTAATTCTCTCACTCTAAAAAAATTCGACTTATAATTACTTTAAATCCACTATTCAAGTTTCTTTCTACTCTTTAACTATCTTTTTATGCTTGAAAATAAAAATAAAATACGAATTTCACGTGTTTTAATAAACAAAAGCAACAAGCCATATATAATAGTAATAATAATAATAATAAGCGTTATTAATATTGCAATAAGCTGGTAAACAAAAGATGAAATTCCTTGATATTGCTTCACTTGAACCAATAAATGCTGCCTTGGTATTTGAAAACCCGGAGTGTAGAGTTGTTGGTAGGATAGAAACTTATTCATGTAGGTATAAATATGAGGTGGCAAGAAATGAGGAAATGAAAGAAATGAAATTATTTGAATTTTAAATAATTTAATTGATAATTGGTATTATTGAAGGCAAATTGGCTGGAGTTGATAAAAAACTTTACAAGAATCTTGAAAGTCAATGGAACAATAATTTATCACAACAAAATGCTCAAAGTGTTTCACCCGATGCTCATTCTTTTGATACAATAATATCACCTTTTGGTTCAATGGATCAACCTTCTTCACGAAGAACTTTGTTTAATCTTATTGCAACTTTGAATGCTTCTTATCCTGATTATGATTTCTCGTTTGTATTAGTTTTGATTTTTTTTTTTGGAATAAAGATGGATGGTAGAGTTTGGAAAAGAAAAGAGCACAAGAGACAATTACTTAATCAACTAATTAATTATATTATAATTCTTCTATAACCTAATTATGATGTAGTGACGTTAAACCCGATCAATTTACCAAACAACCGTCGGTTCCAATGGTGTGCAATTATATCAATAACACTCTATTTAATCTAGGACGTGCTCACATTATCAATGATCTTATGCTATGGCAAACTGTTGATGATATTATTTTTTTGGACGAGTGTAACATCTATTCTTTCAATCCTGACTCTGATGCTGATCCAAATAGTGACGATGGTGTTATGTACGTATCTCACATATATATATATATATATATATTACATTATATATGTATCAGAAAACTATACATATATTATAATTACTTACAATTGGGTGATAAGAGTATATTGTAAAAAAAAAAAATTTTTTTATAACTGGAGAAAAAATCAAAAATCATTTTATTTTTTAGAATATATTTTGTTATTGTTATTACTATTCTTTTAAGAATAGATGTGTCATATAATGTTGTATATGGGCCTCTGTTCTTTTATACAAGCTCATTCATCAAAATGACCATTCTCTTTCTTTCTCTACTATTTCCTTCCCACATTCTTCTTTATTGTTTTTATTATTATAAAAACATAATTTAGATGGGCATTTAATTTCTTCTTTTATAACAAGAAGTTAAAAAGAATATTGTTCTTTACTGTAAGATGTTTAAGGTAATTGGTTTTTGTGCATATCAAAATATCGTAATTTAGTTTATGTGATGTATATTAACACTCACATTCGTCAATTCATTAACTCAATATAGTACTACTGCACCATTACAAGAAGATGAACCTTTAGATGATACAATTTCTGAAACAGAAAGTGATATAAAGTAAGAAGTATATAATATATAGGAGAGGAGGGGAAAATGTTTTTTATGTATTGAAGTTGGATTGAATTAGATTTTTTAAAATAAAATTTAATTCTTTATTTATATAATTATCAATTAATTGATTAGTGCCATGTCTTACGAGGAATATGTCATGGGTGATATTGAGATGTAAAATAATAGGAAGTTGACTAGATGAATTAATTAATTGGTGCTTTGCGACTTATTCTATTTGATTAAAAAAAGGCTGGCAGAGAGGCGCTTTGTTTTTACAATATATCAAATCTTTCTTTTATATTTTAATTCTATTGATAAATTTTATGAACATTTTATAAGCAGGTAAATTTTTTATTTTGATATTAATTTTTATCGTTATCAATCAATTAGACTGAATTTGTAAATAGTTAGTAGTATTATCAATGTTTAATTAAATACTCCAATCATTATAACAAAATTATTTTTATAATTATTTTCTTTACCCTATACCCATTGGAAATTGTCAAAATCCCCAACAAAGCTTTTATTATATTTTATTTTTTACTTGAAATGCGTTAAACTACATTCGATTCATCATTAGTTACTTCTTGCTGTAATGTTTGCTGTGTGTACAGTCGTTAATTGTCTCTAATGTAACTTTTTAGAAGAATTTGACCATTCAATGATATTTTTTTCGATGGCCGTATCATTATCTATCTGCATGCTAATATCTTTAATTTAAATATATATATATATATATATATATATATTTCCCAAGTTTGTTAATGACGGATTTACTTGCCGTTCTAGATGGCGTGAAATAGAAAGGGTCAACTTAAGCTAGCCTTGCAAAATATATAAATTAATAAATAAAACTTGCGGGCTGGGATGTACGTACTCTATTGTCTGCATTTTATCACGATCGAACAATCTTTGTGAGTGTCTTTTTTATTAATTCTCTCGTGTTGTATCGGGGCGAAAATTTTAAATACTAAAAAAAAACACGTAATTATAATTAATATTCACCTGTATAGGGAATAACTCCTAATCTACTAAAGATCCATGAAATCTCATCTAAGTAAATATTTAATTATCATCAACATGTTCCTGGAAGACCTTTGTGATAAGTTTTTGGAGAAAAAAATGTCGCGTTTATTTAGCCAATCATACTAATGCATAATTTAGAACGTCGATCATTAAAATTCCCAACTCTTAATTGTTTTTGGCCTTCTCTAAATAAAAATAGTTATATTTATTACCGTATTAATATACAGTGTGTTTCAAAAAATTATTGTTGCTGGAAAATTTTTGTAACTTTCACTAAAAAACAACCCAACTTGTTTCAAATAAAATTTAAACAAAGCTTTGCTTTTTA